TCTGATGGGGAGCGGCTGAGGGAGCTGGGGGGGTTTGGTCTGGAGAAGAGGAGGCTGAGGGGAGACCTGATCGCTCTCTACAATGACCTGAAAGGAGGGTGTAGCGAGGCGGGGGTTGGTCTCTTCTCCCCGGTAACTAGCGATAGGACGAGAGGAAACGGCCTCAAGTTGCGCCAGGGGAGGTTCAGGCTCGACATTAGAAAGAACTTCTTCACTGTTAGAGTCGTTGGGCATTGGAACGGGCTCCCCAGGGAGGTGGTGGAGTCACCGTCCCTGGAGGTGTTCAAAAAACGTTTAGATGTGGCGCTTCAAGACATGGTTTAGTGGGTTTAGCGGGCATGGTGGCATCGGGTATACGGTTGGACTTGATGATCTTTGAGGTCTCTTCCAACCATAATGATTCTGTGATTCTAAGTTTTAACAGTTTTACAGATTAAAAGTTCTATTAATAAAGTCTACTTTAAAGTACAGCCCTGCTCAGGTTTCACTTTGTATGACCAGCTGTGCACAGGCTAAATCATGAAATGGGAAAAGACACATTTCTCATAAATAAGAACCATATTAGAAGTTACGGCTCACATTATAAATTATTGAGCTGTGGCTTCTTTCTTCATTCTTTACTTTCTAGAACATGTACAACAATCTCTCCTTAAATGAAGGAATCCGGACTTTAATCTTGCAGACATACAGCAGGATGCCATTTGCAAAAGGTCTAGTGCTGGGAACAATCTTCACAAGAAACTCAGATGCACGCAGCTTAAAGTAGAAAGTCTGGAAAAGCGTGAGGGGAAGATGATATCCTTTCTCTCCCCTTTTTAATTCTGACATTGATTCGTTGATGTTCAGCACACATCTTCTGTCCCCCCTCCGCCATTTGGGAAGTTTTTGTGCCATTATTTGGTACTGTGCTTCACAGTTGCACCCCGCAGTTTTACAATGGGAACGTTCCCTGTTAGCCCAGCTGTGTGTTATTTCTGGACAGGGTCCATAACCAGCCTATGAGAAAGCATCAATTTATTAGCTCCATTTTCCAAACTAAGTATGAAGCATACTACAGACTTTTTTTTTTTTTTTTTTTAAAATGCATGTGTAAGCAACCTCTTTTTCCAATAAAAATATTGCCCTTTTTGATAACAGGAAGACAGCTAAAGTTAGTGAATTGTGCAGGACTTTGCTTAAAGCTGTTGTCATAACTGAAATGTTACAGGAGCGTTACTCCCTCCTGTTGCTCCCTTGTCCAAATTTTGGAAAAGTTTGCACAGATATCTGTACTTTCATACTTAAAAAACCCAACCCAACCCAACCACCCTATTAGCTCATGTTATTTCTCATTCAAGAATAAAATACTCCTTTATGTTAAAGGAATTCTAGACAGAAAATTGTATCACTGGTTATAGATTTTGATTAATGCTCCAAGAACAAACTACAGCATTGATTACAAACATCAGCTAGAGTTTCTTCCCCACATGCATGTGTAAGCTCTAGCACAGGGCCTCGAGCAGAGGTGGCATCCCTAGCAGAGAAACTCCTCAAACAGGACTGAGCTGTGAAGACAGGCTGATCCCCAGGGCTTGCTGTTAGCCGAGAAGACCGAAGGGTTCGTTGCGGGGACTGGCAGGGACAGGCCGGCCCATTAAAACCTCCATCGGCTTCAGTCAGACTTTTTCTTTTAAACCATTTTTACCATTTCAAGTATCTTTTCATACGGCTTAAGAATATTCACCGTAGGATCTCAGTAACTCAGTTGGTATCAGCCTTGAAAAGGACTGGGGCATGGAGCCTTTCCTAGCGGAAGGCAACAGCAAAATGTCACGGTTACCAGCTACAGCGAGGTGGTTACGGAGAGCGAAACGTCTGCTCCGAAC